TACTACGTACTATATATATATATATATATATATATATATATATATATATATATATATATTCAATTGTTTTGATTTCGTTATTGAAGCACATCTTGCTCCTGTTATTTACGAGTATCGGTACGCGCGCAAACACAGCTTCGTTTAACGTCGTTTGACAATCGATTGGGGTTGCGATCGGTATGACGACAGTTTCGAGTTTCCGTTTTCAGAATTTAGTTCCATTAACGAATCCGCGTCATATCGGCGGAACGACCGCGGCTATTTGAGTTCTGGTCAGGTAGCCCTGTGTCCCAGGAGGGTCACCTGAGAGCGCGCCGAACAGATGGCAATGTGTTGCTTTTTAATTGGATTGAATTCTGCGGATCGGGACCCGCTACAGTTGCGACATGTTCGGTATTAAAATCGACCGTCCCTCGTCGCTCTGGGATTCGATTATATTTATCGAGTGACGTCATCCACAGAAAGAGCCGTATCTCGCTCGCGTGACGATGTTCCGCATAGCGTTTTCAGATAGAACATCTACCAGAGTTATTATCGAAAGTTCATCGCCTCTGTGCGCGTTTATCAGACGTAATTCTTCAGATAGTTATCCTCCGGCGACTTTTAGGTTAATTGAAGTAAAAAAAACGATGGTGTATTCGTATGTGTGCGCTAGTTAAAAAATTTACTTATTTTTCCAATCCATATTTCAAGAAATGCTAGTATTGTTTTATTTCATTAAAAAATAAAAGAGGGAATATTGATAGGTGTCCGTTGCACAAATTACGTCATTTTAATGTAATCACAGTTAAAATGAGACACATTTGAATGAAAAGTTGATTACTCTGCGAATAAATGATTATTTCCTCATCTGTATATTGTACAAAGAATTCGAATTCTCTCGAATAAAATTTCAATGTGTCTTGCATTTTTTAACATTAAATCTCTTTAAATATGTTCCCGTCGCATGCCCCAATATATTTCTACTCGCTTCAATATGCTCCATTACGTTACATATACTATAGATTGGAGCGTATTGAAGTGAATAGGAGCATGTTGGGGCATGCGACGCGAACAAACCTTTTGTAATAATCTGTAATAATAATAATTAATCTTTTTAAACAATACAATCGGAATAAAAACACTTTAATCAAATTTTATTTTAATCCTCGAAGGTTAATTCACAAACATGTAAAAGCCTTCGGATTTTCGATTGTTCAAAACTGCCGATGCGTCTACATTTTCGTTGAAATAAATCGTTCCTAATTGAGAAAATCATAAGCGCGCATATAACTCTCAGTTTTATCACACTTTAATCAAATAATATATGTAATTTATTTATATAATATATGGTTATTCGTTCGTTAATAGTGTTATATTATTTATATAACATTTTACGATATATACCGCGCTACAATCCTTGCAAATAAAACGATCGACATGTATCGGGCAGCAATTCGCAGAAACGCTGCGGGACATTTGACCTATTATAACGTCGCTCGATTCTCAGATCGCGACGCGAGTAGAACTGTAACCCATGTTTGAGTTCCGGTCAGGTAACACACGTACCCCAAGAGAGATACCTGACCGGAGAGCAGACTGCGAGAGTTATCGTGTACTTGATCCTCCTCTCGCGTTCCAAAACGGGCGGCACTTCGCTCACTTACCCGTAGAGACACCGCCGCTAAAGTTTGCGCTGAAGTTTCGCTACTCCTCGATTCCCGGTTCTTCTCTTCTTCTGTGTCCTTAAACTTCCTTCCCTCTCTAGGCCTCCGATATACGTTCCGCTCATTCGCTTGCAGAGGACGACGTTACACTCGAAGGATACCTCCGTTTGCTCTTCTTCATGCACTTCGTCCAACTCATTTTCCCTCGGTCTTTCTACTTTCCGATCTACGGCTAAAAAACATTTACTTCATTCTACCGTTTAAAAGCAAAATGACTAGAATGAAGAAAACCACAACCTTTTTAAACTGATTTATCATTTTTTAATTTTTTTATATTATAAGTAGACTAAATGTGGGCAAACGACTAAAATGTGGGCATTTATTTAGCATTGCTTATTTGTTCCATTATTATTTTCTAAGGCATTTTTCTAACTCGATAAATTTAAACTGTAAACAAAATATTTTTAGCTTGTTAAAAATAACAATTAAACATCGAAGGCTTTCGCATGTTTGTGAAAATATTTATGCGTTTTAAAGTACGTTTTATCGATGAAACAAATTTTTATATTATCTTGCATTTTTTGCTGTTTTTCAAAGAATTTAATTTCCCGGTTAGAATATATATCTTTCTTCATCTACATAGCTTTTCTCTCGCTTTTTCCCGTCCTCTCTCCACGACAAACCGCGCCGCCATCCTTTCGCGGCTGCGCCCGGAAGTTAAACGAAGAGGTAATCCCGTGCAAATATCTCGGAATCAGCGATAGTTCCACTAACTTACGGGCGAACAACTCTTTCCCGTTTCCGCGCTCGGGTTATCGCGCATAATATATTGTCCACCGAGTGGAATATCGTGTCGCGGCCATACCGCCGACGCGCCGCAAACTAGAACTTGTAAAACCAAAAATTTTCCTGTCCACCCAGTTTGAGAGACCTTGACCCGCAAACTCGAGGGAAATTTGCATATTTGATCCCGTATGAATAAATCCTGATTGAACAAAATAGTAATGCAAATAACACGTATGACGTAATATAAAATGTAAATCGTATTCATGAAGCTATCGAATTCTCGTTTGAAGCGTAAAAAACATGATCGCAAAAAAAAATGATTGAAGACTATATTCTTTCTCACATTTATATATATATATATATGACATAATATAAATTATTTAAAATATATTTATAATATAGTCGACGAAAAAATATCTGGTACATCAATTACCAATTCTGACATAAAAAAATTGAAAGAAACATAAAGTGAGTACATCTTTGGCGTATAAATTTGTAGGAAAACTCGCAAACCCAAGGATGCTTGTTCCAGGCAAATATAAATTCAAATGCCGCAGTCATTGTACAGTCGATACGCTGACCTAACTCGCCACTCTCTTCTATTTCTACGAAATATTTACGTCCTCCGAATGCACGTTGCGCGCATATAGAAACCGCAGAAACGCCGGAGCAAACGCACTTTGCGAAGGAAAATGTTATTGGTACCTGTGCACAGAGACGGGAATTTGTTTGGAATGAAATTTTCGCAAACAGTACTCGCCCAATGGGTTTTTCTCGCCCTTCTACGATGTTCATGTTCAGCGGATGAGGAATTATACAGCGTGATTCACAATAAAACGTCACAACTCTAATACTTGATTTCCCAGGTATGGATAAAAGATCCATACAAGCATTACATAATACTAATTCTGAACAATTGTGAGATTAATGTACAATACTTTTGTAGATTGTTCTTTAAAATTTATTACTACAAAACGAGCTGTTGTAAATCAGCATAATTTTATCTTGGAGTTTTTTGTAAAATTACTTTTGCTACTATTTTTTTATCGTAAAACATTTTTCATTTTTGCTTCTCATAGCTTTCTAATTTTATGTATCTTTTACTCAAGATTGTAAGATCGATTCCTCCTACTATATTGTGATTCGTGAATCGTCCTGTATACGCCGTGTAATGCGATCCGGTGACGAATATCGCCGGGGAATCTGGGCCACCGATTGGATTCCGCGCGGAAAGAGACGGCGGAGCCAAGTTGCATATCACAGCCGTGTCCGCATCTTTTCGCGTATGTGCAACTCTGCACGCAAGCGCCGATTCGCATCTGCAGCCGACGTATCTTCCGTACGTGCAATTCCGCTCAGTTCGACGGAAACGAGAAATCCATCTCGATGCTACGATCCGAAATTACTTCAGGTGCAGCGCCGGATATCGAGAACTCGGAGACTGATCGCTATCGCAGGAATAATTAATCTATGGGCCTCTTCGATTTGTAATATCATCCTGCTCGCAGAAAGTCGAAAAAGCGAACGGGTACGCGGAAGTATTTTGCAAGCTCATTTCTCCTTTGTTAATTATTAGAATATGTTATTTAAAAAAAAAACCACTTAATAAAGCCGTAGTTATTAGTTAAAAAATATTCGCTAAATATATGATTTAATTTGATAAAATTGATCCGTGCAATTTTTTACAATAATCTTTCCACACAATAAACTCGTGATAAACGTCAATTATATTTTTTTTAATGCATTGATTAAATCTGACGTTTCAATCTTGATCAGTAATTCTTTCTAACAAAATATTTGCTGAACTAAAATGTATTTGTTAAAATTTTTTAAAATACATTTTAGCACCGTTTTTATTTCTTTATCGAAGGGAATCGTCTATTAGGATCGAAATGTCGCGACAGATGATGTATATTGATATAAAATCTAATTTAATTAGTAATTTTAGACTGAAATTGAACGTAGCTGATACTGAATGCAACGATCCAGTAAAAATCAGAATCCGATGGTTGCGTGTAACGCTAAATTTGTTACGCGAGAACGGATCATCGTCTCTGGAACGTAATTAAGAAACGCATTCTTGTAAAGGGGCGATTGGTGTTTTCATTAAAGTTTACCAAGTGGACCATTTACCGCCTCTATCAAAACCTTTAATTGAGCGCGCGAAACTCTCGCGATATGCGACGTAAAGTGACGAACTTGGAAATTTGCTAACTTAATGACGTGCGAAGTCGGGTGCGTGTTTCGGATACGATAAATGGCGCTCACATCGCGCACGTGTAATAATAGTATTAGTTTAAAACGAGGAATAATAGCGAGTCACGTTTTAAAAAAATGACGATCCTCGCGTAAAAAGAGCGGGGAACAATATAATCCGTTTTCGCGACAGCTTTAATGTTATTCGTCGCTTACATGTTCCCGACGCGAAGTTAACTTTCCTGACTGCGCGGACGGTGGAAAGCGCTCGCACTAAACTCGTTCGTGCTGTGACGGCTTAATAGCGCGCGAATGATATTACCAGAAATTCCGAATGCAGTTTTACGGCGGTGGTTCAAACTGCAGAAGCATGGAAGTCGTATCTGGGCCGGGGCCGTCACGCCACGTTACGTTAATATGCGCATCGTCGCTTTTGCAGATAAACTATAAGCGCCGGTAGTTATCGCGCGACGCGTCTCTCAGCCGTGGCGGCGGTGCCGCACCGACACGACGTCGTGAGTCTGTGTGCCTTTTGTGCGGCGCATCACGGACAGAAAATAACGTTGCGAAAACGTGGAAGAGCCGATAGCCGCACGGAAGCGATATCTACCGCAATTGTGGCATTTAAATTGTTGCTGAAAGAGCGTGAATCAGCCATTATACCGCGGATATCGGAAGAAATTAAACGCGAATATTCGCCATAATCGATGCGCAAACGAAACTAAACCGAAAATAAACATAAAGTTTTACGATAGCGAGATAAATCTCTTAAAAATCAAAGCGATGCTCCTGCATAATTTATTGATTATCGATATTACAGCAGACACACGCAGCCATCGATCGGAAAAAACATCGAGTGCCCGCATTTATCCATTTTTCTATAACCAGGTGGTGTTCAATGGAACCTCATTTTCAACGATCGCACGATTTTCGAGGGAGATAACGTAAGACATTTTGCACTTACTTCCCTCCATTTTTGGGACAAATTCGCTGTCCGTGCCTACGAAGTCGAATGAGAAGTGCGCGAAGAAGAATCTCCCCCTCGGAGATTTTTCAACCTTCGTATTTTAAGTTTTCCGTGTGAAAAGTTTCATTTCTCAGGCACTATCTCGGGTACTTATATGGTACTTGACAAAGTATCTGATAGCACTTGGCAAATTGTACGTATATCACTTTCTTCCTTTCAAGCAGCAGAATGACATTGATCATCTTCGCTTTAAAATATTGATTTAATCTGCGTTTGAAGAGGATTCAGGGGATTCGCGTCGGACTTTGTTCATTTTTACGACAGGCCATTTGTCCGCGCCCGTAAAGTTGAATGAAAAAGAATAAGAAAAGAAATCCCTCCAGATATCTTTTCGACCTTCGCGCTTCAAATTTCTCGCACGAAAAATCTTATTCTACGCTCTCTGGCACATCTCTAATTTGTGTGAAAATGAAAGCGAATTTATATCATGGTGAATTTATGTCTCCCGACTTGATGATAAAAGCTGACATCTTTTTAATACATTTCTGCTTCTTGACGTTTAATTCGTCTTTTTCGAGATCTTGATATCTGTCTAATTCGCCATAAAACGAACGTATAACTTTGTTCGCTTGTCGCTTCACGATTCTCAGCTTGACACCTTTTCCGCCTTATGCTGCCCAAGGCTTTCAGCGTGGCAAATCTATTTTTCGGAGCGTCGATATTTATTTAAGACGTGTGAAAATGCAGAGCGGAGAGTTCACCATCGGTGCGAACGTCGTGGCTTATGATTTCCGAGGCGACGATCGAAAGTCGATGATCCGTTTATCGGATTGACTCACGCGCACTCACCTCGGCGGATTCAATGGCTGAAATATATACGAATCTCGACCAGACGAATCCACAGTCGAGAACGGTCGGATGTTGGGGTCTTTCTATCGCGCGGCTTATATTCGTCGCGCCCAATCTTCCGGCCTTCGCCTTGCGCGTATGCGGCAGTGTGCACACGCGTTTCTCCATTTTCTATCCTACTCGATAGAATGGTCCCGTGTGCACCGCCGAGTGGCGCAGCCACTTCTTCTGCCGTTCGCCACTCGATCTCCAATTTTGTCCCCGCGATCCCGCGTTATTCCGCGCTCCTTTCTCCACCGAGCTGAACGCCATCTCTGCCTCTGCCACCCGCACCTCGCACGCAACCATCGTCTCTCGAGTATCTATAAGGCTGCATCGCGTCACCCCTTTGCAAGCGTCATCCCTTCCGCAAACCTCTGTGCTATGCGTGGATT